AGACTTGAATCTACTGATTCTATTATTTAATTTATTAGAAAATTAATTCAATTAAATATTAGATATTGTCATATATATGCATTGATTATATATATTCAAAGTATTTATGTCCAAAGTTGATTGGACCTAGGGCATAACACTTACAGTCTCAGAATGGGCCTCTACGGTGTGTGTCCAAAGTTGCAAGTAATGCACACGTGGAGGATAGATGAGTGGAGGTCTACATATCTCATATCTACGCATTTAATTTGCCTTTATCGTTTCACTCCTCATCACATGATATGTGGATGATTCACGGTGAGGATAGGATAAATAGCATTATTCTTTGAAAATTGTTCACTTCTTTAATTTTTTCTACACTTGAAATCCCAAATTTAACTATTTTCGTCTTTATCCTTTTGCTTTCCTTTACCTCATTTCTTTTTCCATTGCTTTCCCCCTCGTGTTCGAACTTTTCTTCTTAATCCAATATTGCGTCCCACCCTAGCAATCTTCGTGTCTACCGAGCTGTAGAGTACTAGCTTAGTAACTCTTGAGCTCTTCCTAAACTACCATCGAGCACATGTGCAATAGATTGGAAAGTGGGACAGGATGCACGAGAAATTAAAGAAGACGGGCTACGCGTGGGGGAAGTGGAACAAAATAAGGATGATAAATAAGATGAGTAGATGACACAACAAGCATTAGAATTATAATATTTAATTATTTCTCATTTTTTCTTGTCAAATATGTTGTCAAACAAACTCTTCTATTTTTAAATTGCGTCATTTTAGTAAAACATATTCATTTTATGAATTTCTCAAATATATGTATAAGCATTTTTCTTTCTTTCCTTTTTTTTTTTAAAGGTCGATAAATGTTTGTTTCGACACCTACTCATTTATCTAGAATGGGGCCAAAAAGCAATAGGACTCCAAGATATGTAATAGGCAGTCTCAAAACTTGAAAACTAGTGATTTTAAAGATTTTTTTGGTAACACTATAGTATTTCAAATCTCTCCATCCACTTCAAGTACTAGTAATTAATAAATGAACTCTAATGACATGTCATTATTAATCGGATAATGTCGAACATTACTAAGGTAAAACAGTTAAAATCTCGTTATTTGTAATATTCAATAATAAGTACAAAACATGCCTTCAATAGTGCATTTAGATTCATCTTTATGCATGCCTCACTCCCATTTGCACTCAATCTTACTAGATAAAGACTTTTAACTTCAATTATTCACACTCCCATCCATTCTACTCAAAACAAAACTCTCCACCAAAACATAGCAACCAAACTTTCTCCACACAATATCACTTCTAACCTCCTTTCTACCCTTCACTCTCACCTCCTCATGTCCATCAAACCATCCTCTTGTCGCTTGTAGCAACCTTATTTTCTCCAAAATGGCCAAACTCAGACCAACGCCCACTCTCCTCCTATGTTGTTCTTTCGCCTTAAACCAAACAAACCCTTCGGCATCCAGTCTGTCTTCATCTTTCTCAGCTTCTACTCCGCATACCAAAGAAACCAACCTTTTTACTCTTTGATTAACGACAACAACAATGTTGTTTTCGCGGTGTCCAGAAGATTGATGGATGTCTTGGGAGATATCCATGGTGACCGATTCTTTTCCGCATGCATATATTTGTTCCCACCTTAAGTTTAGACTCAGTTCATAGAACATAGATTTTCTCATTTGTTCTTTCACTCTCTGGGCTTCATCTTTCACAAACACACAAGGGCAGTACCATTTTCCAATAATAATTGGAGTGGAACACTTGGAATATAAAGGAACATTCAATTCAGGGAGTTCTTGCAAGAGAGAAATGTTAAGTCCTGGAGCTTTTGATAAATGAAATTTGTAAGACTTAACAGTGTAAACTTCCCATCCTGATGTTCTGAGGAAACTAGGAGGATTACCGTCCCATTCGATTGATTTCGCTAAGAATCCACCACTGTGATAACGATGAATCTCGACTTGTTGATATCTGTCCCTGTAATCGAAAGGCCTTGTTTTTCGATATTTTCGGATATCGTTAAAGCAACACATTGCTGAAGCATCTTCTCTAGAACATGTGTATGCCTGTCTGCAGAACTCGTCAAAAGAAAGGAAATTTAGTGAAAAAAGCTCTGAGCAAGTCCACCAGGGAAAAAAATATTGCAACAAAAATAGCTATTGTTGAAGCAACCTCTGTCTTTTTAGCATGATTACTCCAAGAATTAATCCATAATGTTCTTCCAAAAATTGTCGGAACATATTGGACTGTGCAGCCTAATGATAGTGAATACTTTTTCTCTCGACTGTACATCGACCTACTTTTTATTGGATTATTTCACTTTGCCAGAAAGAATTGATAGATGCAGTGACAGTTTAAGTGGTGATAACACATGATTGGATTAAAAAGTTGATTGTGTTTTAAATAGTCCAATAATATGATGTCATGTGTCATTATGTTAACTTTTCTATCAAATTTTTCTGGCAACTAGCATAATTGATTTTTATTTATTTAGAGATATTGACTAGTACACACGTGTTAGCTAGGCACCCTACTATTGCTACCATATACGGACTATTTGGGGCTCATTTTCCCATAGACACGACAGACGTGCTAAAACATTGAAAAGTTTAGAGTGGCAAATGGATGATACTCTCACATCGAATTGCAATAAATATATGCGTTGCTTTGCGTGTTTCTAATTTTGTTTTATTTATTATTACTCTCAAAATATGAACTAAAAGTTAACCTACATTCCACAACTAACCAAGGTTCCAGAATCCCATGTGTGTGTGTGATAAATTTCATTCATGATTAACATGGTTTTGGATAGCTCCACCTAAGTTTTTCATAGTGGGTTCCAAAATAGGCAAAGAAGGGTTGGGAAAGATATGTTAGGGTTGACTGGTCAAGATCTAGTCGCTTCATATATTCCAACAAATCTAGCAATAATCAACAGAGCAAAATGTTGGAGACCATAAAAGATTCAAGTAGTAAAATCCAAATTTATTAACAATCTAGTTGGGAAGTCCATGTCCACTTATCTATTTCTATCTCCAACAACCTTACACAAGTGAAAAAACAAGGTTTCGGGTTTTGAACAAAGGGACATATATACACTGCTGGTATAATAACATACCCTTTATGTTTGCCCTTTGCCTGGATAACATAGTATCTGTTGGATGAAAGAGGCTGATCAATTACTGGTATAAACCAGACCTTTTTAATGCTAACATCTTCATGTACTGATGCATTTACAACCTTCAAAATCCTGTCCTGAGGGAATGGAAGCCTCTTTATTCTGTTGCTCCTGAATATCCCATAACAAGATAAATCTATGCCTTCTGATTCTTCGTCTGAAACAACTAGCTGACCGGAATATGGAGCGTCTCGCAGTGCGACACGCATCTCTCGTGGCCCTACATTGCGATAGAGGGATCGCGGTTTTGTCACGTACATCTCTTCCTTGTGCTCGAGCTAGTCTTCGGGAATTGAATTATCTTAGGAGTGAAAAACTAAAGTTCAATGTCCACAAAAATGTGAAAAGCATATCAATGTTCAACTCATAAAAGCTATTCAAAGGAAAAAGTTGAACCAGCAATAGTTAGTTTCTTTTTAGCTGATCTGATAGCCAATGTGCATGCAATGCATTATTAACATCTCAATAACAGCATGTTTGGACGAGCTTCAAAGGTGTAATTACTCACAGGTAAATAAGTTTTAGGATAAGTAACTTTTTTATTGCTCCACGAGAGTTATTTTCATTACTTGAAAGTGAGAAAAAAATTATCCGAAAAATGTTTGAAGTTAAATAAACTGGCTACTCAAAAGTAAATTATACATTTTAAGGTGGAGCCAAACATGCTTTCGGATATTGATTAATTTGTTTGATACATTATTATATATCTATCTTTTTATCTCACAACTTTATTCCGAAAAGGAAAACCACTAACCTTTTTTTTCTAAATGAAAGTTGAAAGGGGAAATGATTCGATGAATTGTCAATGAAAGCAAAATGAAGTGGACCAAGAAGGCCTTTTGTGAATTAGAAGTTATAACACACTGGAAAATTTGTTTCTAAAGAGGTCCTAATGTCCAATTCTTCTTGACATAGATACTTCAATTTCTTTGCACATTGAATATTTTTTCTGTAATCAGTTGCCATTGTGTCGACTATCCTCCACGTATATTCAAATATTAATGTTCTAGACAGTACACACATGTTGAAATTGTTGTTCAAAATCAATAAAATAAGCTTTGAAAGGAAAAAAAGATTAGGAGGCCAAAACTTTGGCCTATACCACATAGGCCTCTGTGGCTTGCGGTCGCATATAAACGTACAGGGTTTATATACCCTACAAGTGATCTATCTATGCGATCACATAGGTTTGTTCTATATGGTCGTATAGAACTAAAAAATAACCATTAAAGTTGGTTTTTTATTTGAATTTTTGGTGGCTTTTGTTGAAAAGCTTGCAACTTTTCGGGATTTTTTTTTGCACTATTTTGTGGGTGTTGATTGAAACCTATAAATACATTATAGATTACCATATCAACAGCATAATTCAACAACTTGAGATCAAATCTTCATTCCAAAAATAGAATTTATATCCTTCTTTTCATATTCAAATTTATTTCAAAGTGTTCTTGAAATTTTGATAGAAAACACTAAGTGTTTAAATATTTTTATATTACAAGACTTGATTAATCCTTCAAACCATTTGTCAATATCTATTTAAGCATCAAATTCAATTAGAGAGGAGACAAATATTATTTGAGGATAACGATATTCGTGTATAAGCATTCATCTTTAATTTGTTCCGGTATTCTTATTTTTTGTTCTTTGTTTTTTCTTCATCCCTTTTGTGTGGAAACTTTTTTCCAACAATATCAAACAATAATTCTGCAATGGAGCACAAAACTACGATAGCGACGATCAAATTGATGAATTAAGATCTTGTTCATCTAGATCGATTTGATGGGACAAAAATTTCACAAGATGGTAAGACAAGTTGAAGTTCCTTCTCACGGCGTTGAAGATCTTCTACATTCTTGATTCAGAATTGGCACCACTTTCTGATCCAACAGATGAAGATACTGAAATTGTAAAAATGGATAGACAAAAGCGTTAAGAGGATGAACTCATATGCCATGGTCATATTCTTAACATTTTATCTAATTCATTGTACGATCACACAAATACATCGGCAAAAGAAATATGGGATGCTTTGGAAAACAAGTATAAGGCCGAAGAAGTAGGTACTGAAAAATTCCTAATATCAAAAGATTTTGACTTCAAATTCCTGGATAACATTCTCCTTCTTCCCTAAGTACATGAGTTACAAGTTCTTGTCAACAAGTTGAAGGCGGTCAAAGTTGAAATCTTAGAATTTTTCCAAGTAGGAGCAATCATTGCGAAACTTCGGGGATCTTGGAAAGGACGTCGGAAGAAAATAATGCATAGTTCTGAAAATTATTCTTTAGAGCAAGTGTAAAAATATTTCTGAATTGAAGAAGAATCAAGGGAGGTTGCTTTGTATGTGGAACACCCGGACATTATGCAAAGGAACGTCGACACTGAAAGTAAAACAATTTCGAAGGAAAAGGGAACTCCATTAAAGAAGATAATATTGTGGTCACCATAAATAAGTTCAATGCAATCGAGAAAAAAGTTCTTGATTGGTGGTATGATACATGTGCAACTGTACATGTATCATGTGATAAGTCTTTATTCAAAATCTATTATGAAGTGGATGGAGATCAATGGATTTAAATGGGTAACGAAGGAAGCTCTAAAGTGGTTAGGAAATGAAATGTAGAGATTATATTCACTTTTGAGAAAATTATTTCTTTAACAAATGTACTATATGTTCCTGAAATGAATAAGAACTTAGTTAATGGTAATCTCTTAAGAAAATTGGGTATAAAAAGTAAATATGAGTTTGATGAACTTGTATTATTCCTAAATAGAAAATTTGCTGGACAAGGCTATTCTTGTGAAGGAATTGTCAAACTTTATACTGAAAGCTCAAGATTGGTTAACCAAGAGGGGGATGAATTGGTTTTTAAAACTTTTTCGTTAACTACTACAAGATTTTAAACTAATAATAACACAAATGATAGAGAGAGAAACTAAACGAAAAATAACCACGTAGATGGAATGATATAAGCTTGCACAAAGTAAAATGTTAAGTAAAGAGTTAGAGAGTGCAAACGATATGTTATGGAGGTTCAATCCAATGCAATGATCTATATCCTCCGTTACCAAGCTCTCCGTCATAAGTAAGGCCTCTTCAACTATGTTAATTGACTTGTGGTGCAATCCAAACCTTTTACAAAACTTGTCGTGACTTACAATTAAGGAGCACCGATCTTTTTACAATGTTGAGTTTTTCAGGACTTCAACACGACCCATAATTTCAAGATGATTTTACAAGTGAAATCTTATCTTATTGAATGATAGATTCAAGGTTGATAACAAGAAGAGAAGA